TCCCCACTGTTTCCTTTCTTCTGTTTGCTGGAATCAGAGACGAGCCGCCATTTTACTCACCATAGGTAACATTAACTGCACAATTACATCATGCGATCACCAGAAAAAGTATGATAACTTTATTATTTTTCGTCTCCGGTCCAAAAGTAGAGTATCGTTGAAGTTGTCTCGGTCCCCTGGGTTCAGATAGATACTCAAAGTCCCGAAATTCCATATAATAATTTCCTAGTTGTATTAATATTTTAAACCATTTGATTTTTTGTTTTTTAATTGGTTGATGATTAATTCTATCAACTAATTTGTTGATTGTTTGATTGTATTAACTCGATTCTTTAGATATCGAAAATTAAATAAAGAACATTATGTTAATTTAAGCGTACAGAAACGTTGCTGTTGTTCCAGCAAAGATCTTATTTTCACTTTACCTAGTGCCTAGTAAGTAATTTGCAGATTACCTAGATACTCTGCACATTGCCTAGGTAATTTGAGAAATAGAGCAATTTTAGCAACTTTAACGAATCACCCTAGTTAATCTGCAGATTAGATAGGTAATGTACACATTAACGACTTTTGAGCTTCAGCAGTAATATATATATATATATTATTCTTTAGAGAAGGAAAAAAATCTAGCATCTGTATTATGCAATTTGATTTGTCTCAGGTAATTACATATTATGCTTGTAAAATAATGTTATTGTTAATTATATATTTATTGCTAATTAATTAGTAACATTAATTATAATATTTTTACCTCACTAATTTATCTCTCTAAAACATTGTTTTATATCTACATAAAAAGAATTTAAAAATAAGAGAAAATATTGTTTAAATTACCATTATCAAATGTGCTTGGATTTATCATACTTAATAATTCCACTTCAGGTAACATTGTTATGTCAGAGAAATGATCAACATTTGATCCGGTGTTTGGAACATCATGGAAATTACTTATTCCTTCATTAACTATATTTTTTCCATCTTGATGTTTGATTCCTTTATTATTAACACCAATCCTTTCTTGTTCTGTAATGGTATTTCTTTGATGAATGCTATTTGATATATTAAAACTATTCTCTTGAAAAGTTGACTGTTCTGATGATGACACTTGGCTACTAGATACAGGTATAGAATTTGGGATTTCATTTGAACTGTTATTGCTATCAATTTTAAATAAATTGTTTTTGTCTGTGTTGTTATTATTATTGAATGCATTTGATAAAAACTCTCTATTCAAATTGTCATTTGTTTCTTGATGAATATATTTTTCAAAAAACATAACTTCATTAGACGAAGGCAAATTTTCTACATTCTGAAGTGAATATTCTGAATGCTTATTACTTTCTTTTTCAGTTGACATAGATTGAAATGAAAAATTATTTATTGTAAAATCACTTTTTTCTTGAGTAATTAAATCTAATTTTTCTGAATCGTGAATATTTGAATTTGTAGTAATACTGGATGCGGCAAAATCAGCCATTACTGCTTGTGGAGTTTTTTTTTCATTCAAATTTAGCATTTCCTTTCGGTTTACTGAACTGTTTGTAATTTGAGTTGACGATGATGACGACGAATTTGTTGAAGTATTCTGTCTTCCCTGTAGAAGTAATTCTCGTAAAGTCTGTGTTTCATTATTTGCATTGTGATATAGCTGGGAATTTGTAGATTCTTGTTGTTGAGTGCCTAAAGTTATATTTTTATTAATGCTACTTTCACTGTTATTATTATTATTACCGAAAAATTGTTGCTGACATTCTGCCAATGAACTACAAATGTTATTAATTGCATTCCATTCAGTGGAAATCATAGATGAACTATTTACTGATTCTTCTAAAGATTGACCATTTATTATTATTCTTTCATTATTTTCCATATTCAATGAACTGAATTCTGAACTTTGTTTATCTTTAACTGATGATTTGGATTGTTGATTTAAGACATTTTCTCTAGTTTCCATCTTAACTTTCTCATTAGAATGTAATTCTTTTATAATATTACTATTTGTTATATTTAACAAACTATGATTTTCAATTTCTGATGAAAAATTATTTGATGATGAGTTATCAACATTTGAGATGGAATTTTCATTTGTAGGTTGCACTGGTGAATTGATCTTTTCTGGCTTTGTTGTTGAGGGAGTAGAAGGTTGAACAACAATTAACTGCAACTGAGGAGATTTAACTTGTCCAAGAAGAGCATTTGTACATCCACCTGACAATACAAATAAGAAGTTTATAATAAAAATAATCGAATAATAATAATAAGTTTTTACCTTAATTAGTTACATAAATTTAATATATTTTATTATGGATCAAAATTATACAATTATCAGTTAATTTTAGAATTATCTAAGTAATCATAATCCAATACAGTGGTTAGAATATTAGAAAACTAAAATCTAATTAAAATTAAATAAACACTAAAATCAGTCTTCATGTATGATAAGTCCCAACCAAATAGTCACCATAATTAATCAGACTGTTTTTTGTTACCCCTTCATTCCCATTGACGAGTTAACTCGTCAAGTTTACATAGTGTTACGAAAAACTCGGTCGTTAAGGCCACTTTTGAAATTTTTTTTTTTGATTTTTGGAATGTTTTTTAAGTCTCCAAATTTTTTCAAAAGTTTTTACCCGTGCAAAAAAATTTTATTGCGAGTTTAATCAACCTTTAATGATGCGCGATTAATGCTTAATTGCTTTTTAATGCAATTTTTTTATCAAATTTAATTAATCATTCTAAAGTTGTAGTGCACGGATTTGACTTTGGTGAAGATATTTAAAGCTACTCTCTGATGTCAAAAACGACCTCCAATAGTTTTTTAATTTTTTTAATTAATATATTTTATTATANTTGTGGCAAAGATCTTATTTTCACTTTACCGAGTGCCTAGTAGGTAATGTGCGGATTACTTAGATACTCTGCACATTATCTAGGTAATTTGAGAAATGGAACAATTTTCACAACTTTAATGGATCACCCTAGGTAATGTACACATTAACAACTTTCGAGCTTTAGCGGTAACATATATAAAAATTAAGTTTGATTTAAATTAATAGAATAAAGGTAAGTTAACTTTTGAAAAATATTTGTCTAAAAAAATATGAGTTTTTAAAAATTTTTAATCTATAAAATGGAATAATGAGTTAATCTTGCTCGTAACTACACATTACATAAATTTATATTTTTTTTATTATCGAAACCGTGTTGTTATTTATATATTGTATACTGGGACAATGAAGTGACCTCTTAATCAACACTTGGCAAGTTTTCCAACTTGGCAAGTATTAGTTAAGAGGTCACTTCATTGTGCCAGTATACAATAAATAAATTGATATGTAAAACTACATGTTTAAATAGGTAAATTTCATTATTATTATTTTCAAATTATGCCATATTTAAAATTTTGAATATCTAGAAATTTTTTCTTCTAAAGCAGCAGATTATTTCCTTTGGCTCTTGTAGTTTGAGAAATTTTGACCACAAAAAAATTAAAATTAAATAAACAATAATAGTAAAACCTTACTTATGTTCACCTATATGAAGTTCTAAAAAAAATGTTTTGTACTCTGTATTACAATTCTATATAAGTACACAAACAAAATTAATTTAATTAAAACATTTTAAATAATGCTGTACATCTGTAAATAATACTGTACTGTAATATAAAGTAATTCAAAATTTCATAAAACGGTAATGTTTAACACTAAGTATAGAAATACAGAGTACATGTAGTGAATGCTGGCTGTTTGTAGTAGAGTTGATTCAAGTACTGTTTAATTAATACCCGTAGACAAAATCAATAAGTTTATAAAATGATAATAAACGTTTCATTTAAATACTGTATTTTAACAGCAAAATTTAGGAAAAATTATTAATTGAAGGTACTAAATATAGAGATGAATTCAAGTGTTAGAAAAAATATTAACAACACTGGACAACAATGATTTGTTTTGGGCTCAAAATTAGCATATTCTTATGTATTTTCATCTGCTAAATATAAAAATGACCTATTAGCTCTTGCTTTGGAGCAGTGGTTCCCAACCAGTGGTTCGCAAGAGCTAAAATATGGTCCGCAAAAGATTTAAAACTTTTATTCATTTTAAGTTATAATTTAAAATGATTGACGTAATCTAAATAATACAAAATATATGAGAAAGGTTTTATAGTAAAATTTGTAAAAAAATATTTCATTACAAAATAGTGCATCTTCAATTATTTCAAATTTTCATAGGCATTTTTCCTGTAAAACTCCTCAGATCAGCATATAATAAAACTACACTATTATAGAATATATATTTATGCAAACATGACAGCCCTTTGACTCAATCAATTATGCTGAGCACAAGTGGAAAATATGTGGCAATCTAAAAGCCATCGCTGTACTCTTAGGAATGCAACTGGAGTACACTAAATACTGTTGCTTTTTATGTATGTGGGACAGTAGGGATAGGAAATCACATTACATTCAAGCAGACTGGCTTGCAAGAAATCTTGACTCTACCGAGAAAAATATTGTTGCCGAGCCACTCATGGACCCAAAAGATGTTCTTCTTCCACCCCTTCATATCAAGCTGGGTTTAATGAAAACTTTTGTCAAAGGTATGAACCAGAAAGGACAGGCATTTAAGTACTTAAGAGATAGACAAATTTCCTAGATTGAGTGATGCAAAGGTTAAGGAAGGTATTTTTGTTGGGCCACAAATTTGAAAACTTGTAAAGATCCCACATTTGACCATGTTTTGGAAGGAAAAGAAAAGGAAGCTTGGGAAGCCTAAAAGGGAGTTATTTGTGGATTCTTAGGCAACAAAAGAGACAATAACTACACTCAGTTGGTGACAATACTTCTGGAAAAATATCAACAACTTGGATGCAGCATGTCCCTCAAAATCTATTTTCTCCATTCCCACCTTAGACTTTTTCCCTCCTAGTTGTGGGGAAAGATTCCACCTGGATATTTCTGTATTGGAACAAATATATCAGGGCCATTGGAATGAAGCATTACTTGCAGATTACTGCTGGTCTGTGTATAGGGATGCACTCACAAGAAGCAAGCCAAAAGAATAGGATCTCATAAAGTCACCACATGATTCTCTTCACATCGAACCACCTGCCGGGTATTCTATTAATTTAGAACTCTTAGAATGTTACTGTAATTTTAAAAAAATTCAAAATCACTTTCAATGTTGTTAGCATATGTAATTAAAATGTATTGTTTTCTCTTACACTGTTAAAATCACCTATTGTATACCACAGAAACTAGAGCTAATAAAAATTTTTCTTTGTCATATTCAATTTTCTCACCTCAAAATTAGTAAGATTTCACTCATGAAATAAAGGAAACATTCAAAAACATTTTTTTTTTGTTGTCCAGTGTAATTAAACCAACTTTTGCATCAGGCTTAACAATATTTTTCTTCATTGAGTGTTGCAAGTGACATATAAATGATATAAACTGATCATTGCTGATTTTCATAGTTATATTTTTACAAAATACAATGAGATTTTATATAAAATTATTGAAAAGTATATAATTGTCTTTCTTAATTATAATAATTGTCTTACCAAATTCTGGAGATAAATTTAAAATAAAATAAATCTTTATTTATACTTAATAAATTAATGTCATCTGTGGGAAGGAACTCAGCAAAATAGTATTGATCTTTGTTAAACAATACATTGAGTTAGAAATGATAGGTTTTCCTATTTTGTTGGCCACATAAATGGAGATAAATGCTACTTTAGGACATTCCTATCTTGGTCACTTACGTAAATGGTCACCAAGATGGAATTTGATTTATATTAAAACTTATGCAGGTTACAGGGGAATTTCAGAAGTGACCATAAAGCAAGGTTTTACTATATTGTAATTATTTCAGTCAAATGTAATTTTTTATTAAATCAAAGCTTCATTTATTCATTTATGGATTTGTACTATCAATTTTTTGTTTAATCACTGGGACAATGAAGTAGTAAGTAGTTAAAGTTTATGTACATCATGATCTATGAGATCAAACAATGCAAAAACTTTAATTTATAAATAATCAGACTAAAAATATACAGAAATGTAAAATATATATAACACAATTAATTTTAAGAAAGTATATTAAATGATTATAAATTATTAAAATAATAGACTATATATATATATAGTCTATTATTTTAATAATTTATAATCATTTAATATACTTTCTTAAAATTAATTGTGTTATATATATTTTACATTTCTGTATATTTTTAGTCTGATTATTTATAAATTAAAGTTTTTGCATTGTTTGATCTCATAGATCATGATGTACATAAACTTTAACTACTTACTACTTCATTGTCCCAGTGATTAAACAAAAAATTGATAGTACAAATCCATAAATGAATAAATGAAGCTTTGATTTAATAAAAAATTACATTTGACTGAAATAATTACAATATAGTAAAACCTTGCTTTATGGTCACTTCTGAAATTCCCCTGTAACCTGCATAAGTTTTAATATAAATCAAATTCCATCTTGGTGACCATTTACGTAAGTGACCAAGATAGGAATGTCCTAAAGTAGCATTTATCTCCATTTATGTGGCCAACAAAATAGGAAAACCTATCATTTCTAACTCAATGTATTGTTTAACAAAGATCAATACTATTTTGCTGAGTTCCTTCCCACAGATGACATTAATTTATTAAGTATAAATAAAGATTTATTTTATTTTAAATTTATCTCCAGAATTTGGTAAGACAATTATTATAATTAAGAAAGACAATTATATACTTTTCAATAATTTTATATAAAATCTCATTGTATTTTGTAAAAATATAACTATGAAAATCAGCAATGATCAGTTTATATCATTTATATGTCACTTGCAACACTCAATGAAGAAAAATATTGTTAAGCCTGATGCAAAAGTTGGTTTAATTACACTGGACAACAAAAAAAAAATGTTTTTGAATGTTTCCTTTATTTCATGAGTGAAATCTTACTAATTTTGAGGTGAGAAAATTGAATATGACAAAGAAAAATTTTTATTAGCTCTAGTTTCTGTGGTATACAATAGGTGATTTTAACAGTGTAAGAGAAAACAATACATTTTAATTACATATGCTAACAACATTGAAAGTGATTTTGAATTTTTTTAAAATTACAGTAACATTCTAAGAGTTCTAAATTAATAGAATACCCGGCAGGTGGTTCGATGTGAAGAGAATCATGTGGTGACTTTATGAGATCCTATTCTTTTGGCTTGCTTCTTGTGAGTGCATCCCTATACACAGACCAGCAGTAATCTGCAAGTAATGCTTCATTCCAATGGCCCTGATATATTTGTTCCAATACAGAAATATCCAGGTGGAATCTTTCCCCACAACTAGGAGGGAAAAAGTCTAAGGTGGGAATGGAGAAAATAGATTTTGAGGGACATGCTGCATCCAAGTTGTTGATATTTTTCCAGAAGTATTGTCACCAACTGAGTGTAGTTATTGTCTCTTTTGTTGCCTAAGAATCCACAAATAACTCCCTTTTAGGCTTCCCAAGCTTCCTTTTCTTTTCCTTCCAAAACATGGTCAAATGTGGGATCTTTACAAGTTTTCAAATTTGTGGCCCAACAAAAATACCTTCCTTAACCTTTGCATCACTCAATCTAGGAAATTTGTCTATCTCTTAAGTACTTAAATGCCTGTCCTTTCTGGTTCATACCTTTGACAAAAGTTTTCATTAAACCCAGCTTGATATGAAGGGGTGGAAGAAGAACATCTTTTGGGTCCATGAGTGGCTCGGCAACAATATTTTTCTCGGTAGAGTCAAGATTTCTTGCAAGCCAGTCTGCTTGAATGTAATGTGATTTCCTATCCCTACTGTCCCACATACATAAAAAGCAACAGTATTTAGTGTACTCCAGTTGCATTCCTAAGAGTACAGCGATGGCTTTTAGATTGCCACATATTTTCCACTTGTGCTCAGCATAATTGATTGAGTCAAAGGGCTGTCATGTTTGCATAAATATATATTCTATAATAGTGTAGTTTTATTATATGCTGATCTGAGGAGTTTTACAGGAAAAATGCCTATGAAAATTTGAAATAATTGAAGATGCACTATTTTGTAATGAAATATTTTTTTACAAATTTTACTATAAAACCTTTCTCATATATTTTGTATTATTTAGATTACGTCAATCATTTTAAATTATAACTTAAAATGAATAAAAGTTTTAAATCTTTTGCGGACCATATTTTAGCTCTTGCGAACCACTGGTTGGGAACCACTGCTCCAAAGCAAGAGCTAATAGGTCATTTTTATATTTAGCAGATGAAAATACATAAGAATATGCTAATTTTGAGCCCAAAACAAATCATTGTTGTCCAGTGTTGTTAATATTTTTTCTAACACTTGAATTCATCTCTATATTTAGTACCTTCAATTAATAATTTTTCCTAAATTTTGCTGTTAAAATACAGTATTTAAATGAAACGTTTATTATCATTTTATAAACTTATTGATTTTGTCTACGGGTATTAATTAAACAGTACTTGAATCAACTCTACTACAAACAGCCAGCATTCACTACATGTACTCTGTATTTCTATACTTAGTGTTAAACATTACCGTTTTATGAAATTTTGAATTACTTTATATTACAGTACAGTATTATTTACAGATGTACAGCATTATTTAAAATGTTTTAATTAAATTAATTTTGTTTGTGTACTTATATAGAATTGTAATACAGAGTACAAAACATTTTTTTTAGAACTTCATATAGGTGAACATAAGTAAGGTTTTACTATTATTGTTTATTTAATTTTAATTTTTTTGTGGTCAAAATTTCTCAAACTACAAGAGCCAAAGGAAATAATCTGCTGCTTTAGAAGAAAAAATTTCTAGATATTCAAAATTTTAAATATGGCATAATTTGAAAATAATAATAATGAAATTTACCTATTTAAACATGTAGTTTTACATATCAATTTATTTATTGTATACTGGCACAATGAAGTGACCTCTTAACTAATACTTGCCAAGTTGGAAAACTTGCCAAGTGTTGATTAAGAGGTCACTTCATTGTCCCAGTATACAATATATAAATAACAACACGGTTTCGATAATAAAAAAAATATAAATTTATGTAATGTGTAGTTACGAGCAAGATTAACTCATTATTCCATTTTATAGATTAAAAATTTTTAAAAACTCATATTTTTTTAGACAAATATTTTTCAAAAGTTAACTTACCTTTATTCTATTAATTTAAATCAAACTTAATTTTTATATATGTTACCGCTAAAGCTCGAAAGTTGTTAATGTGTACATTACCTAGGGTGATCCATTAAAGTTGTGAAAATTGTTCCATTTCTCAAATTACCTAGATAATGTGCAGAGTATCTAAGTAATCCGCACATTACCTACTAGGCACTCGGTAAAGTGAAAATAAGATCTTTGCCACAAATAAATGTACCACAAATAGGTGTGCTTGTCGCAAAAACCAATTGCTATGAAATTCAAAGTGTCACCAATCTTTAGACTGCACTA